TTGTTCTGTGGTGAATGAGACTCAGTTCTGCACTGTTTCACTGTGTTTCTTATTCCCATGTAGATCTCTGGCAAGAGATTGTTTCAATCTCCGATCTTTTTGCAGTTGCGTGTAAAAAGTAGGGGCCAGAGAGGTTTGAAAGTGACCCTTGTACGAGGCTATAACCTGGAGTCACTCTGGCTCTGTCTCTTACAGAACAAAGTGGAGGAGCTAAACCGGCGATTGAGGCAAGCTATTGATGGTCAGTTTGTCATGAGATTTACAGATACAGTACGTCAAAACAATGAATGCACTCCTTGAACTTTTTTACATTTCGTCACACTAAAAAACAGGCTGTAGCTTTGATGCCTTTTTATAGGAGTTTATAGCAGTGAAGTGAAAGGAGAATGATTCACAGTTCCAGGGTTTTCTTTAACAAATAAAAATTTAAAAGGGAGGCCTGCCTCTGAATTTAGACAATACTTTGTAAAGCTCCCTTGGCTGCAGGTCGGTTATTTCTGGCTCTACCAGCTTTCTCTATAGGCTGAGGTTTTGCCTGTTCTTTGGTTGGATGGAGAGCATCTGTGCAAACATGTTCAAGTCTTTTCATAGATTCTCAGTTGAATTTAAAAATGCTTATTTTAAAAGTTCAAACACCAAATATTCCTTAATGTGCATTAATACATGCAGTGGAAGCCATCTTGGGATTGTGTTTTTGCTGCTTGGAATTACAGCCAATGGTGAATTTAAAAGATATTCTTATACATAAAGATATTTTCAATATTTTTGTGTATTTCTATACAGTATTGTCTTACAACTGTACAGTCCCAAAATAATTGTTAGCAACATCTAATATTTTTTAAAAAATAATAATAAAATTTAACATTTTGAGAATCATGTATCATTTTCCCTCCACTTCATAATAGTTAATTTATTTCTGTTGGTGTGTCAAATGTATGGAAGCCAAGCTGCCATGAGAAAAAAAAAGCTCAAAAGTTGAAAAATATATTTACAATAACAAAGGCAGTAATTATGAGAAAAGTCATGCTGTTTCTGTAGTATTTCATAATCATGACTCTGAGGGCATGTTCACACCTGATAGTCCGGTAGACTCGGTTCCATTGGTGAGCACAGTTGCAACATTTGTTCCATTTTTAACTGCTGTGGTTCTCTTTCACACTGCACTGAGTGAAACAAACCAAACCTGTTGAATAACTGAGTGCATCTTCTTTCTTCACGAAATGCAAACACAATGGAGTAACATCAGATTTTAGTGGTTGATAAAAGACCATGAGCCTTTTCTCCTGCTAGACTTTTATATATTTTTTTGTTTGTTTTTGAATCCCCTACGCTATAGTCCACTTCCTGCCTTTGGAGTATTCTTTGGTCCACTTGGCATTCACATTTGCATTCTAACCCCACCAGAGTTCCCATCAACTAAACCGAGAACGAGGATTGTAGGTGAACCACAGTTCGTTCTTTACTTTGATTATGCGTTCTCACCTCCCCAAACGAACCGGACTTTCTAAACAACTGAACCAGACTTCAACTAAAGTTGACTGAACAGAGCTTGTGTGAATGCACCCAGAATCTCATGATCATGATTTTAAAACTTGAAATTATGACTTCCTGTATAACTTTTATTTTTTCTTCTATGGCGAAAAGGGACTTCCATACAAATAAAATTCCAGTAATGCCCATTAACATTTATGGTCGTGATGTAACAAAGTTCAGGATGGATTTTTTTATGTATAAACTCTCACTTATATCTGACATGTGAAATGAAGCGTTGCTCATAGTGCCAGATGTTTGCCTCGGTCAGACTGCTGTCAGCAGGGTTCAGCCTCCATGCTGCAGTCTGACCCGTATAAATGGGCCTTGTTACATTGGTGCCTCTCTGTGCCGTGTCCCTCTGTGTGCTCCATCCCTCAGACAGCAGGAACCTGCCGTATGGCCGACCTGCTGTCCTCTTCCGTGCCAAATATACCATCCTACATCACAGCGACTACATCAGCAGTTACAGTGAAACCCTGTTCATGCCCCTCTGGACATCCTACACCGTCAGCAGACAGGTACCGCCCAGTCTGACCCCTCCTTTTGGACTGCCAAGGACACACTCTTTGCATGTACTATACTCAAAAGCCTTCTTGCAAGCAAACTTCTTGCTTCTTGCACCCCCTAGTGGTAAAAGTGGGGTAACATTTTCTTTGTCTGTCCAGGTAGAGTTGTCTCCTCTGCCTGAGTCTCTGTCCAACTGTGTGAGACCGGATGCCAGAGTCCCACCGGCCTTTAGCCAGTCGTGTTCCAACTACAGAGCAGAGAGACATGTCACATATGCTTTCCTGTACCCGCCGCGTAAGTGAACCCCCACCACAGGCTTCCGAAAACACACTCAACCTCAGTGGACACCACCACACACCACTAAAGTAATCATAACCCCTGAGAGACATTTTCATAGTTAGTCACATTGCAGTCACTCACTTCACTTGGACTTATTAGGATTTAAAGTCACCAATAACTGTGATTTGGATAGAAAATCATCAGTGGGATCAGTTGGAATATCTTGTGTGTGTTCACAGAGCTTTCCTCAAACCTGGAGAAAAAATACGATGCTGTCCTCATCACCAACACCGTGCCCATGTATCCTGCATTTAAGAGTAAGATCTCACTTCATGAAATCCTGATGTATTCCTCATTTTAGGCTCAGAAGTTTTACTAATGTTTTTAATAATCATTTCCACTATTCACTCCCCTTCTGCCATGTCCTTCTCTCTGCCCACACTCCCACTCCCACTCAGGAATCTGGACTTACTTTCAGAGAGCGCTGGTGAAGAAATACGCCACTGAGAGGAATGGAGTGAACCTTCTTGTTGGACCCGTCTTTGACTACAATTATGATGGAGTCAGAGACTCGGCTGAGACGATCAGAGAGTAGGATAATTCATTCATTCATTCATTCATTCATTCATTCATTCATTCATTCATTCATTCATGTGAATCATCTTTTATTTCCATAAACTTTGCTTCTAATGAGTTTTTTTAATGCTTTGTGGTTGCGAGGTTTTAAACTAGGTTAATATAAAGCAGTACATCAGTCTTATACTCAAACTACTATATAGTTGAAATAAATCGCAATAAATCTGTAACAATTTTTTTATTTTTCATAATTAAGATTTATATATTTATGAAGCTGATGTAATGATCTATGCAGTACAGATTGTGAGAAAATTATGAGAATCTAATAATCAAATGAAAGTTCAACATTAGTCAGTGAAATTATATTTACTAACCTCTACTAATTATAAATATAGGGAACAAAAGAAACAAATTTAAGGGCTTACAAAGAATCAGGACACTCTTGTAAATTAGATTTTTTAAATTCACAATTAGGTTTACCTGGTTAAATGAAGGTTAAATAAATAGACAAAAAAAATTAAACAACCCGACTTCTGCTATTAAAAAATATAGGGAACATTTCTGAAGTAATACATGAACATTCAGAATTTTATTCCAACAATGGATAAATCTCTAATGGTTATTTGGGGCTTCCTGGATTTTCAGACACCCCAAGGTCAAGACCTACAGCTTAACTATAATCTAATCTAGCTGCACTGGAAAGTAGAATCCTGGGATGCACACATGTCCACCATTAACTAATTACTGACATATCCAAATGTTTGCAAGGGAAACAACCAATGCCTGTTTTTGTGGCCTGGCGGACAGAGAACCGGTCCTCTGGGTCGACTCACAGATGGCAAGACTCTGTCACCCTTGGTGGAGGTGTCAGGTCATGCAGCCCTTTTGGGTCTAACTAGACCGGTCGGTTCTAAACCGGGGTTGGGTGTCCTTTCATTTCCCTTGAGGGCCCCCAGCCAGAGTAGAATCCCGAGACCTGTGATTCCATTGGGGCCGGCCAGATGGGGATGGTTTGCAGTCAACCGTTGGTGGGTTGGTATAGAGACAGGTCAGCTTCCATATCTCTCAGTCAGAGACTGTGGCTGACCAAAGGGGGAATTTGCTGGGCTGAACAGGCAGGTTCTCAACAGTAGAACAGTAAAGTGGACAAAGTCTTTTCAGGAATTTACTTCAACTGATAAGTGAATGGCGCTGAGAAAACTATTCTGCAAACCATCATCCGTCTGTCTTGGTTGGCTGGAGGAAGCTTCACTAACCAGCACTCAGTGGTATTCCTCTCAAACACTAAGAAATCAACTTTTCATTTTTTCTTTTGTAGATAGCCCTTTAGGTCTCACCTGTACCTGCACTTGTCCACATTCCTCATCATAACAATATTTTGCCACAGTCAGAAAGAAGGAAGAGACTGAATGTAAGTTCAGCCAAAAGGAAGGGAAACCAAGAAAAACCTTTAGAAAGCCTGACTTACTGTTGATCCAGAATTCTTTATTAGATTATTAAAAGTGTGGCTTCTTGGAAGCAAAGTGTACATGAACCATTAAAGCTGCAGTATGTAACATTTATAAATAAAAAATAAAAAATTCTACATATTTGCTTAAAATATGAAACAATCTTTGAAAAAATTGAGCTCCTTTGCCTTCTCCCAGTGCAGTGAAACAACCAGTTAGAGGAAGGAGGCGGGTCTTATCACTGTCCGTCACCCTCCGTATGGTGGCACTCATCCCCGCTCTCACTTCCCCACCACATTCCTCTCTGCTATGCTGCAGCTAACATAGCAAGTTATGGATGCTCAGGTTAGTTAGCATAGCCACTGATGATGGCAGATAAACGGTTTTTCTGTAACTGTAAGCTGTTTCTCCAGCATCAGCACATGTAGCAGTGTCTACGTGAGAATGATTGACAGCACTAAGACCCTCCTCCTGGCTCTGACTGGTTGTTTTTGGTTGGGATCGGTGCATTTCTTCAGACGGCAGTAGTAGCTCAGGGAGGACTGGAGGAGGTCCATTTTTTCATAGCTGAAATGTTTTGCACAGTACTCTAAATATAGTTTTTCCTTGTAGAATCAAAAACTTTAGTATATTTCTTAATGTCAGTCTAGATGGTATTTGCTGATTTCCAAATTGTAGATTTGGAAAGCCATTGAAAAAAGACCATTTTTATTTGGACTTTGTTCTTCATAAACTGTGCGTAATAATTGGAGAAAGAATTGCTGAGTCAGAGTCTGCAGACTCTTTCCCGACTAAAAGGTGAAATCTGTTCCAGCCATGTGAGCGGAGCCGTCCCCGTCCCGTCTCATTACTTTGTGGTCCTGACCAGCTGCCTGGACTTCACACAGCCTGCAGACTCATGCAACGGTCCACTGAGCAGCGCCGCTTTCATCCTGCCACACCGACCCAATAACGACGAGACCTGCAACGTAAGAACCAATCACATCGCATGTACCTTTCACGTTCTGGTCCTACCTGTCCACACAGCTGGTTCTGAGAGCAGCGGACATGACTTTCTTTGTGTGATCCCAACCCACAGAGCTCTGAGGATGAGTCCCGTTGGGTGGAGGACCTGATGAAGATGCACACGGCCCGGGTCAGAGACGTGGAGCTGCTCACAGGCCTGGACCTGTACCGGAGAACCAGCCGGAGCTACTCCGAGATCCTCTCCTTAAAAACATACATGCACACGTATGAGAGCGAGATTTGACCTCTGCTGACCTTTTCTGCAGCTGTGGTGGAGGAATGTGGCACACTCTTCCATCTCTGTCTGTCTACGTACAGCTAGAACACCACTGAACTGTTCCAAAACTCTGCAAAAGTCTTCAATCATCCCTCGTCTCACCATCCTTTTGAGGACCCAGAAGATAATTTAGCCTTTTGGTTCCATGAAGGACTTTCTAGAGTGGCAGAGATGAAATTTTACATCCTCTTGGCACCTTAGTACTAACACCCTGCTCTAAAAAATCTGTTTGTTTGCATTTTTTCTTTTAAGCTACAAATCACACTCAAAGCATCCCAGATTGAAAGGTATAATAATCATATTTTTGCACTTATGTGATTCCTCAGCAGGCATTATGTTACACCTCAATCTTCCAAAGACAGTTTAAAGGGTGTTGCCTCTGCACTTTGTTGCCCCTGTGTCCCATAAGCTAAAGCTGGAGTCCAAAGATTCTTCTCTGCAGCAGCTCCTGGTTTGGATTGTTTCAGATCATCAAACAAATGTTAATGTCAAACAAAAATATTCTGAGAAAATAGGAAAAAAAAGCTGTTAAAAAAGATCTTTCTGAACCAAAGATCAGATCAGTATTATGTATTTAAGAGCATACATAATACATAAACACGTTACATGTAAACAACTTCTCATCCTCAATACCTGCTTAGTTCCTGCAGGGGGAGCCTTTCTCCAGGGGTCTGAGTACTCCCCCTGCAGGTCACACACTCAAACCTTAGCACAATAAAGTTCCCTTAGAAGCTGTGAGATGAGTTGCAGCTGCAGATAGTTCTACCACTTCATCAGGCTTAGAAAATAATCAACAGGCCAATATGGAATCACTCTGGCTGGAGATTACTGAATAAACCTGATCTGTATGCCACCCTTTATAAGGAAGCCTTTGCTTTTTAATGCAATATAATGGTAATGATGTATCTGTTTGTGAGGTTGCGTGTGTGTGTGTGTGCGCGAGCGTGCATGTGTGTGATAAATATAACATATCAGTCTGTAAATGCGGCTTGTATGTGTGTGTGGGTTTGTGTTCTGACTTTGGTTTATGCACAATTAAATTTGTTGATTATAATAAAAGCTTTACGATCTGTCAGTTCAATCTATTTGTGTGTACATGTTTTCCTGGCCTCTGCATTCAGATATCTAAACATGGTGAAGATGACTTGCTGAAGCCCAACCTGAACTTCAGAATGAAGGGGCTTTTGGTGACTTTGAATGTGTTATGGGTTTTGGTACCGACCGTATGGTCTGGTCTGGGTCTTTAACAACCTGTTGTAAAGCCCAAAGACAACAAAGGTCTTCTTTTCCCATGGTTGATGCTTTATTTGACTGAGTTTTTTTCCATTAAGCGAACCTGGATGATCATGACCGTGATGAGGGGGCAAGTGGGTGGTGGAAAAACAAAATTAACCAAGCGCCTTTAAATTGAAAACTTATTCAGGTTTATTAAATGATCTTGTAAGCAATGAGAACAAAAACAGAATGAGTTCTGTCATACAAAGTTATAAGACTCTCTTTGAGAAGAAGTGCAAAAGTATTTAGGAGACAAATTCTGAGAACTAGCTTCTCACTCAGTCACTCTGAGAGAAGTTGACTTCTTTATCTGCATCCCTTGCAGCTGTAGAAACCAGCTCTAGCAGATTATCTGTGGAGTGGCAAGCAGAGAAACCTTTTCCACACAAAGTCCACAAGTATCATAAAAATAAAGACATAATAAAAAGCATAAGTTCACACAGTCATGAGACTTTAGGGACCAAAATTCAACAGTCATAAGACTGTCAAGAAATAAAATTTTGCATTACATTCCCGTTTTTTATTTATAGTAAACTCTGCTTTTTTTAATGTGCAGTGGTAATGATGTAGCTGTGTTTGAACTTTAGTTTTCATTTGTGT